ACGCTCTCAACCAGGCTCCTGAACAGGCTGAAGTCTGCCCTCCAGAAGTCCAAGGTAGCAGTTCTGCTGACCCTGCTCCTTACTTCTTCAAGAACAGAGAACTCTATCATTTCATCACTATGCCCAAGATGGCCCCCAACCATCACATCACCCATAAGTCCTTCTCTGTTCACAAACAACAGGTCCAGTGGGGCTAGTTGTCACTCACCAGCTGCGTCAGGAAGTTATCTTCCACACACGTCACAAACCTCCTAGACTGTTTCCTCTCTGCTGTGTTGTATTTCCAGCAGACATGTGGTAAGTTGAAGTCTCCATGAGAACAAGGGCTAGTGACTGTGAGACTTCTCCCAGCTGCTTATAAAATATTTCATCTGTCTCTTCATCCTGGTTGGGTGGTCTATAACTGACTCCCACCATGATATCTGCCTTGTTGGCCTTTCCCCTGATTCTTACCCATAAACACTTGTCCCTTTCATCACCATCAGCAAGCTCTAGACAGTCTAAACACTCTCTAACATACAGGGCTACCCCACCAACTTCTCTTCCCTGCCTACCCCTTCTGAAGAGTTTATAGCCATTCATCACAGCACTCCAGCTGTGCGAGTCATCCCACCATGTTTCCATGATTGCAACTATATCATAGTTTTCCAGATGCACAATGGCTTTCAACTCCTCCTATTTGTTGCCCATGCTGTGTGCATTGGTGTACATGCACTTCCGTTGGGCCACATTTTCTGGGGGAGAAGCCGTAATTCCTATGTGACTGTTCTCAGGCACTTCCATGGTTTCTAACACTTCAGTAACCCTTGCATCTTTGCTGCCGCAAAGTTAGCCCTGCTAACTCTTGCGCAAAGTTCCTTTTCCCCCTTTCAGACAAGTGTACCCTTGGTGTTACAAAGAGTGACCCATGATCAAAAAGCCCAAAATTGTGCCAGCGACACCAGGCTCGGAGCCATGTATCAATCTGCTGGCTCTTCCTGTTTCTTCCCTCATCATTCCCTGCAACTGGAAGGATAGAGGAGAACACTACTTGTACTCCTGATCCCTTAACCAGTCATCCCAAGGTCCTGAAGTCTCCATTTACTTTCCATTGGAGTTTAACAGAGGGATTTAAAGATCCAAAGATCTGAATACATTCCTGATAGAATTCCACTGAAACAAGGTTAGGACGAATTTGGTTCATTTTTTTGTTGTTTGTTGTGGTTTTTTGTTTTTGGTTTTTTTTGGGGGGGGTGTTTGTTTAGGTTTTTTTCTTTTTCATGTATTTAGAGGTTTAGTGTTTGAGAAAGGATAGCTAAAAATTACAGATCTAAAATGCATTCCCTTAAAACTTAAAAAAGAAGGAATATAAAGCAGGTAGTTGATTTCAATGCCATAGAAACAGTATGATTCAAACAGTGAAATGAGATTCAGGAGCTTTGGATTTGGTTTCTGACTTTCTAATAGAGGTCTTTAAAAGCTTGGTGAATTAATTATCTCTCTCATTCTTCTCCAGTCATGTACATACTATTAGAACCTGAGAATTCAAATATATTGTGTTAATAAATTTAATGTTTTGAGATACCATGAGGCAAAATTTGTGAGCCATTCAGCTACTAAAGCAATAGGGAACATGAGAAACAGTCCTGCATGAATTAATATTTTTATAAAACAAACCATAAAAGGAATACACGTCAGCGTTAGCATGGAGTAAGTTGTCAGATACCCAGATGACTTCAAAACATCCACTTCACGTTCTCTAATACTCATGACCTTCCTTTGATATGCAGGTTCCCATGCATAAAGTTTGAGGATCTAGACAATCAAACAAACGTATTTTAAGAAAACAAAAAACCTGTGACCATGTTTCAGAAAATAAGCTTAAGCTCCAAATGTCATTTTCAAATATTCAGCAATGCCAAACTACAAAAATTTGAATGTTTTACAAATGAAAGTAAGGCATGAGATAATGCTAAATTAGGTTGTTCTTATGGAAAATACACTCTAGTCACTCTTAATTCTTCAGATTTCAACTTGCCCCTTATGTATCATAAATAATCAGCTGGTTCGTTTCAAAACAGGATAAATAACAAAAATGAGGTAACTTTTAAAAGTGCTTTTCTTCTATGCTAAAATTTCACTTTGCTAATGGTTTTCAGACATCTATTACATATTTTACACTCTCATTAAAAATGTGGTAGTAAAATTAATGCATCATGGATAGAAAGTTTTTCAAATCAAATTAAACCACTAAATATTTTCCAAAAACACTTAGGCATTACCTTTATTCCATGTAACATTTCACTTAGTAGCTTGACTCGTTGATCCGAATACTTCATTTGGCTTTTCTGGTTAAAAGACAGCAATGTTTTCATTTTTCAATGAGCAAAAAAATTTGGAAAGTAAAATATGCAGTGTACTGTAGGCAATAAATACCTTTTATGCCATTTTTACCTTCCTGAAAAACACACTAGCACTGCAGCTATATTATTTTCAGATATATATGTAGTTAAAAAAAAAAAAATCGATAGGACAAAGGATTAAATACATTAAAGTAATATTTTTCCCTAAAATATCTTAAAGAGCGCATTTCAATTTTTGTCCTTTTTATTTCTCTACACATTATGTTAAAATCTTAACAGGCTTCCAGTTCCCAGGGTGTTCAGGAATGATAATATGGTTTTAATCTTAAAAATCACTAAGCAGGTAAATACAGACTCAATAGCAATATAGTAGAACACTATATACACACATACATGAATATATACATAACACTATATGGATATGAAACACTGTATACGTATGTATGTATATATATACTGGAGTTAGGAAGAAAGTTTCCTCTGCAACTGATTAATACATTGTTACTGGAAGAACCAAAGAAACACAGAAATTATTCTCACTCCTATGCTATACTCAGGCTCTGCTGCACCTCCCATTTCTAAAACACTAATTAACAGCCTCTTTAATGTTTTGAGTCTTATTCACATACGACAAGTTGCAAACTCTTAGACAGAATTATTTTATTTACCTTTGTATCCCTTTTCTATCTCCCATATCACAGTAGGGATGTAAGCGCATATGTAGCTGCTGCATCTCACTTGCAAAAGAGGTGAGAGGGTTTTTTGGTTTTGGTTTTGGTTTTTTTTTCCCAATGTCTCTAAATTGTCACAGCCTTACAAAAGTATTAATGGAGACTCAGAGTCTTCACTGTGTGTTGCACCATCAAAGGCAGAATAAGACAGAGACACATAATTGCCTTGATAGCAATGCAGAACTTAAGGTTGTAGTATTTTTTTTTCAGTGGAGCTTACAAAAATTGTCATAGCAACAGGCAATACAGTGCCAAGAGAATTGTGGCATCAGAGAAGCAGAAAAGAAGTCAGAACACACGCAGTGCCTCTATGGGAATTCCCATAACCTCAGAAGAATGTGCTAAATTTGAGTGAGCAGCTTAGCCTGAATAATAAAAGTGGAAGAGGGCCATAATCCTACAAAATTCCTTCTTTAATGGAATTAACTCATGTAATATGCAAAAACATAGCTATTTCCTAAATTCAGTCATACAGTAATTTTTACTATATACAAAAGTATTGTTTCAGAATAATGAAAATTTATGTATCCAACCTAAATACTAGTTTAACTATCAAACATACGGCTTTCCTATTGCAGTTATGCTTCCCCCCTCAATGCAAAACGGCTAGGGCTTGGCGTTTCTTTGTCTGGGGTTTAATTTAGATGTACCAATAGTATCCTTATACATGCATAATTTACCGCCCCCCTTCATTCCTGTATTATGAGAACTTAACCTCTCCTTACCGTGCTTATTTAAATATCTCACCTTCAGTTTTTTTACTTTGGCTGCAATGAGTGCATTTATAGGTATAACCAAAAGCAGCAGTGCAACACCTGCTACGACTGAGGGGCCAAGTTCTTTCCAGAGAAAGACAACAGCCATAATGATCTGAAAAGGTGCTGACCACAACAGGTTGATGTTTACAGTTAGCTCCATGAGTTGCTGAGCATCTGCTGACATCAGGTTAACAATTTCTCCAGTTGTATATTTTCGTCGTGAGGAATTTGCTAAAGTTAAGGCCTGCAGCCAGAAAATACAGAGGTCAGAAAAATCAACAATTTTGATAGGTCAGGACTAAAGGATTTAGGCCAGGACTAAAAGGAAAATAATTAGAGCAAAGCTGAACTCAGTGAAACCGACTTGCAACTCTTTATAGTAACTAAACAGGACAACAGTGCAAAAAAGGGCTCAAAAAGCCTCAGCTTTGGCCTAGCTTAGAATCTCTGAGTGCAGGAACCAGCTACAGTAGGCTTCACAGTAAGCACATGTTCTAATCTCAGTGTGGCAGGCAGATACCACAAGTCCCAGGTGTCTTGGGACTGACACCCAAACACGTACACACACACTCTCCCTCTGTGTTAGTGCCTCACGTTCTTCCACTCTGTCACCTGCAACTCCTGCATGTAATAAGCCAGTGCTGCAGCAACTCACTCCACCATCCATCCCACGTGCAAAGCACAACCTGACCCGGCACTCACTAATCAGCTCTGAGTAGAGAGAGGAAGAAGCTGTATCTCTATCCTGTAGCTGCAAAAACTTGCCAGAAGATATGCCGACCCCAACAAGAGCCTCTGTTCACGATCTGATGTACTGACACACCTTGATATGTGACTTGAGAGAATGAAATTCCTTTATTTAACTGATTTGCAACTTACAAGTAAGTTCTACATACCTGAAAAGTCTATGTCAAAAGATCAGTTTGACTCTCTTGAGAAAAGAGACTGCATTTTAAATTAACACAGACAGTAATTTATTTCAGATTTGGATTATCTTTTGGCTTCCTTAACTTGTGCTTAATAGTTAAATACTGCATTAAGAATATCAATGCGCCATGGTCATAAGGTGCAGCACTGAGAAACAAGCTTCATCTCATATACTACATATTAATAGTATAGTAAACATTTTTATGTTTTGCAGGTAAGACAGCTACTCTTACTTCTACATTATTAGCACCTGCATTTCTTGTGTCTAATATTGCTGCCACCTCAGCATATCTTATTAAAGGTGGGATAAGTTATAGATAGATTTCCACAGCAGTTAGCCATCTTTTAAACATCTGAAAAATAATGAACCTACTGGGTATTCAACTCAACAGAAAATCAATTTCACTAAAATCAAGGGGGAAATTTCAGCCTCCAAAGGAGACAATGTGGCAAACTTCAGCTTCTCATATTCACTACCACTACATAGTAAAAAAAGCGATCATGTATACCCTTACTTTTTCCATGGCATCCAACCTAAAAAGTTTTCCCAGTTTTCTCAGTACATTTGGGAAATTAACCCATAATCAAAATAGGAAGAGTTCAGTTTCTACACATATCTCCAGTATGTCTGTACAGGTGGGTGGCAGAAGTACGTAATTTCAGGATTGGAGTCTTACAATAGAAATGTTGCTGAAATTCTAAATTATTATAAATAAATAATCATCATAATATAAAGTCAATCTGTTAGCCTGTCACCAGTGTATAACATCCTGGGTTTTGATCATGCTGGTAAGCATACTGTCTTTTAACACTGTGTGTTTATTTTAGTTTTGAAAGAAAAGTAGAAGAATACGTGATTACCTTTTTGTATATCAGGCCAACAACTGCAGTCTTGATTTTGACTGCAGTAAGCATGTTGTTGCGCTGGTATAACTGATGGAGAAGAGTTTGCGAGAGAACTACAAAAAACAGGGCAATAGCATAGCCATATCCACTCCCATATGAACTGGGATGATTTTCACTGACCATTATCATTGCTCTGAAAATGAAGGAAAATAAATTTTAAATTCTGTGCATTAAGTCAACAGCTGACAATAAAAAGTTCAATAAACTGACATACTGGCAACTTGTTTAAGCAAGAAAAAAATTAATTAGATATTTGTACTTAGAAAGGTTGCAACTACCAACCATGAAAGTGAGAGACAAAAAAAATCTAGAGGAAAATTCTTATTTTTGTGTTAGTAAAAAGTTATCTTAAATAACGAGCAACTGTGATGTCTTCAAACAGATTTTATGGTTAACAATTTTGTTCAGGATTACACTGACTCAGGGTATAGTTTGGAGGTTAACAATAATTCTGTTCATTAACTCTTTTCTTTATAAACACACAGGTATGTGATAAATTCGTAGCACCTGCTTGGTAAGCACAATTTCTAAAAACCACTTCCATTAGCCTCATGGTACTAACAACATGATAACAGCAGAGTCATTGCAGTTTTCCATTAAATGCTGAAGCGGTAGACATTATTATATATTTAAGTGGGTTTTTTTAAAACAGAGATGGAAAAATATCAACAAAAAAGCAGGGAAGTTAAATATCTTGGTATTCCATTTTTCTCAACATTTGATTTTATATTTAAGTATACTAAATACTTAAATACAACATTGTGGAATGGAACTTCTACTGTTTTTTATCTCAGTCCTTTGGCTAAGAAAGTCCTGATCCCTTTGAGCTTTCCCTCATTAGATTATTTTCAGATCATCAGAGGGGCAGGGGAGGGCAGGCAAATAAAATCTTTATACATCTAAGCTGCTGCTTTGTTTGGTTTTGATATTAGTAACCATTTAGGTTTATTCTTACTGTTACTCTCTGAACATGAAGCGAAACACATTAAAAACTTACTTCATTATTTGTGGACTCATGAAAGCCAGAATGTCAGCTGTAACTTTCAGAAACGCAACTTTAATCAATAAAAATTTAAATGTTTGCCATAATGGCGAAATCAAAGATGGTTTATGGAAACTTGTTCTCTTAAATAGCAGTCTTTTGATGTAAGAAGCCTGAAAGGTTATAAAAATATGTACAGAATGAAGAGAAAAAATTATTTTTTAACTTCACTCACACTTACAAATATAAAATATGTAATATTACAGTCCCCATCTAAAGCCATCACTGCACTTATGATCTGAAAAAGGAAATTTCCTACAGTTAGAAGAAAAGCTTTGAGGTAAGAAATGAAGTCTGGTTTTACTTAGCCTGGCTAGTAGTCTTTCAGGAAAGGATAAGTATCATTTCTAGGGTTACCCCAATCATCCACAAATATAATTAGAAAATAATTTAATCCTCAAATGATTACCACAGATCAAAAAAAAAAAAAAATCTATCAGAAAAGCAGAGGTAAGCTTCAACATATATGCATTATTATTTATGGCAGGCTTACAGCAACTTTATACTTAAGGTTGACTAACCCTTCTATTCTTTCAGAATATTTTCAGTTGTTAAGTAACTATTTTTTTCAGTTTGACTGTAGCTCGAACAATTGCATATATTCTTACAAGAGCTCAAAAGAAAAAGAGTTAGGCTTTCTCAATTATCACAGTGTGAAGGACAGGGTATTTTTTACAGATTACTTGCATAATATAACCAGTACCTGAATTAAAAATTAGCCTTATTGAAAAATACCTTTGAATGCTTTGGTAGAAAGGGTTTTGGTGTGTATACCATGAGTGGAAGAAAGGGCAAATCTACAAATAGCTAAGAAAATTACTGAAGAGACACAGTAAGGTCAGACTTTGCAGGAGCCCTCTTCTCAGTAAGTCATTAAAACCCAAAAGCTACACTCTCACTGGATTTACAGGTTAGGTCCTCTGTCCTGTGAGGTTCTGAACATTACAGAGCTCCTACTGCACTTTAACTACAACAACAAAATAATAACTGTGACTGAAACTGCCAAGGATTTACATGAAAATCACACAGGATAACTCAAGCAAAAAAAACCCCAAATATCTGTAAAACTCAATATTGTTAAAATTAAAGAAAACTGAAGCCTGTTTTGTTTTGTGTCTTCTGTAAGCCAGAGTGTCTACTGATAAGCAAGGTGGTAACAGACTTACCTTTGTATTTCAGGTAGGGAGAGAAGACAAAGACATGGGAAAACAGGTAAGTTCAGAGAGAAATTAGTTGGACAGTTTTGACGAAGACAGTAATTAATCACCAAAGTAAAAGTCACAGCAGATTCTCTATCACTTGAAGTGTTAAAATGTAACTATGTATCTTTCTAAGAGGTAAGTTTGAACTTAAACGGCCTATAGCCACACTAGAGATCACTGATCATGACACTGAGTGGCCTTTGTGATCTACAAAATGTAGGCTGTTCAATAAACAACATTTTAGAAACCTTCTCCAGCTTCTAAACACCTTAAATTTAGAAAAGGATATTGCCTATTGTCAGAATTATAGCTACCATTAATCCTATGGTAGACTTCTGGATTTCTTTTCTCCATTGCTTTTCAAAGTTAGGACAGATGCTGTACGGTGAATCACTTTCATTCAGTTCAAACAGGTCATCCCTTTCCAATGGCTTCTTATAGCCTATAGATATTATTCTGAAAGAAAGCAAGGAATTTAGAGTGTATAAAATAGAGCAGACAAACAAGCAGAACTACTAACTCAAAAAGCTAATGATACAATTTAGTGTATATAAATAAACTATAATCAAAATAATATATGTAATCCTATAAAGGCTACAGACTAAATAGTGGAATATACTTACAGTCACCTTAAATACACTGAGATTCACCTGAAGTAAGAGGAGCCCAAGCAGACTGTCACATCTGAACAGCAAATTCTGAGGAACCTCTGTACCTCAGAATCTGTCTACATTTCTGATCCTGTATTTCTTTCTAGGAAAATGTACTATTTCATAAACAAACGTGTGTAGCATCATTACCCACTTACGATTGTGATCTGGAATGAAACACCTTTTCTATCACAGGACTGCATTATCAGAGAATCATAGAATGAATCTTTTTGGTTAGAAAAGACCTTTAAGATCATCGAGTCCAACTGTTAACCTACCAGGTCTACCACTAAATGATGTCCCTAAGCACCATGTCTACATGTTTTTTAAATACCTCCAGGGATGGTGGCTCATTATGATGTGACGCATCTTTAAACGAGGTAATGACATTGAACTATTGGGTTTCAGCACAAGTACAATGGAAGTCTCCTTACAGCAGATCTTCAGCTGTTAAAATTTTGTTTTAACAGAATGCTTTTACTCACTTAGGTGCCAACAAAAATTAAAACTGGTCTTAAAAATGGCAAAATAGGGCTGATGAATACAGTGAACCTAGAGGAACTCTGAAAGAAAAATCAACAATTTGGAATTTTTGACAAGCATGTCAGATTTATGACAACTCAAAGCAAACTGTGTCGTACCATTTCTGAGGTGAGGAAAATGCAAAAGGATTAACATTGACGATGTTCTCTAACTTAAGGGAAGTCCCAAACATCTAGGAATCAATGACAGACACATACATAGACACTGGCGTGTGTGTCCTGTCAGTGGCAGCTCTAATGTTTTCAAGCTGATGGAGATTTCCCTCCCTGAGGGCCACCACACAAGCATAGTGTCTATCTTCTCTAGCATGCACTTCCACTGTATCATTCCTGTACCCGCCAGTGTCAGCACTGGGCCTGGGGCTAATGTCTGTGCCATTGTGCTTATCACAGGACAGAAAATAAGACTCAGAAACGCTTCTTTGGAGGTTGTAAAATTCTGGTGGTGGTGGTCCTCACTATCCCCAAAGGCCACTCAAACATCTACTGAAGCTGTAGCGTTAATACAAAGTAAATTTGCCTCACGCTTGATAAATTAAGGCAAAAATAACACAGCTTCTCACTAAGAGCACCAGCTTTTGAGACAAATGAGGAAAGCAGACCAATTGGTACTGGGGTGGGACCTGGTGGTAATTCTGCATAACTCATCTCAATGCTAAAACTCACTGCGGCCAGAGCATAAATAGATCTACCAAATGTTCCCCGCACCATAATCTCCAGATTGCCTGAATTCTAAAGAAACATAATAGAGCATTATGGGTTTACTATGTAACAATTAACATAAGACTTCCTCATTTAGATTGCAAGCACTTAAGGTGAATATATATTAGCCATAATTTATTGTGTTTGCTTGTGATTGGAAAGAGGGCGCACATCTGATGTTCACGGTATTAGGTTAATTGCATCCAGTTATTCCATAGCTAAACAAGCTCTCACTGAGCAGAACTCAAATTCATTTTTTTTTTCCCTCTCTTCTTTTGTTCAACATTGTGGAATTGGTTAAAAAATAAAATGGATAGCCTAGCTTGAACATTTGGGTGAACACTGTGACATAACGCACACATAAACGTCATATAAAAGCGCTCCATTCAGTACACTGCATAAGTTTCTAGAAAAACTGAAAATGTGTATTTATGGTGTAGAATGTTACGGATTGGTAAAAACCAAATCTACTCTGAAACTGATGGTGAACTCCTAACTTCAACAGGGCCAGAGTTTAACCAAATACTCTGACTCCTTGAAACAATCTGATTGTTTTGTCCCAGCTTATTAATAGCAAATACCATTTTCGGTTTTTCCTTAGAATTAGCAATACTGAATAAAGCAAGAAACAGTTGTAATACTCTTAAAATGTTTTTTCTCACTTTTAGATTTTTGAAGTGTATATGTCTGACTCAAATGATTTTTAAAGAGGAAAAAAGAAAAATGTTAAAAATGAGTAATGGTCATAAGATAAAACACATGAAATTGTTTGAAATAACATTCAAAATATTAAGCGACAGGAAGCCACATGACTTGATACAGTCGAGCTTTCAGTTCCTATTTTTGGGTGAAAAATTTCCCAAAAAGCAGAGGGACTTTATTGATGTTTATGAGTAGGTGATCTACAGTAACAACACGCGGCCTGCCATAAAAGAGGGAGGAAAACGAGCATGAAATTGGCTACTTGGAAAATACCTTAAATGTACTACTGAATATTTATTCCTAGAGAGATCTAGCAAGTTGTTGTATCATTACATGGAGTATAAAGGAAAATTTATTTTAGTCTATTGCCAAATCTACAGACGGATAATAAATAAAAAAGGATAGTCTAACTTGGCCTTTTATATCCCATTGTCTAAAAATATTGTCTATTGTGACAAGACCATTGTACTTAGTTATCAAAAGATTAATGTTTTAAATAATGCCATCAGATAATGTATAAAATGACTGTTACTATGTATAAACAATAATTCACAAACTATTTGAATAGGACCTCTAAAAGTTGTAAAAATTGATTTTTGTACAAAAAGCTAACAGCAATCTCAGGCTCAGGGTAGAATGACGGTGTGGAATGTAAGCACATGCTCTACAATTCTGTGAGCATCAATGAACATTAACAAGCAGTTTATTAAATTCTCACCTGCTAAACCAGGAATATGTTAATTTACTGAAGAAAAAAACATTCTCTTCTGGGCTGCGTTTCTGTTTAAAAAAGAAAAAAGTATCAATGTTACTTGAAAGACCAAAGAAAAAGTTGGTTTTATTCTTTTTCTTTTACTAAACATGTAATTTTTAGGAGCTTTTTAATTCTGAGCTATAATAAGGTCTATACTTAAACTTCTTTGTGTGTTACCTTCTCCCACCAACATACGCTAACACAAGGTATGAAGAATGAAAGAGATTTAGAGTCTCGTGACTTACTAGAGTCACAGACCCTAGAGAATGTTCACACCAACAGCAAAGCCTAGGAGTTGGACTTGATGATCTTCATGGGTCCCTTCCAACTTGAGATATCCTATGATTCTATGTCCCATTCAAGCAAACCTTCCTTAAATCTCTGACAGTTAAAACCCTGCGGGTTTTTTTTTTTTTTCCCCCATTTGAAAACCTAGTTTTCAAGCAGTTATCAACTGCTAATACCTAAAGAACAGCAAACTCCTTCAGACCCTAAGAGACAAAGTACTACTAACGTGTACTGTATGCACAAATGAGAAGAATATGAGGCTTGTGTGCTGCTGCCAATTCCGTAAGTCATTGGAGATAAGGGTAGTAGAGAAAAACAAACATGAACTCTCCCATACTTCTTGAGGAAGGTGTATCCACACCCAAGCTTGACTTCAGGACACCTGGGGAGTAAATTCTGTCCCTCAATAATTACCACCTTAGAATAATTTCTAATCAAAGATGCTGTTACAGTTCTTTTCGGTAGGTGGTATAAAAAACCCACCTATCAAAAAATGTATGCTGTGGGTGCTCTGAGATCCTGTATACTTTCCACAACCATTTTTCTTGTACTTTCAGTGAAAAGCCAAATGATTAAATGATAACCCAAGAAATAAATACGCAACAAATATGTATGCCCTCCTTCTCTAACGAACACATCTGCTCGTGCACCTACTCGCCCTTCACGATCAGATGTAAATGTTTGCCACGGTCCATTACGCTTCACACCCACCCAGCGTTGTTTGAATTATTATCTTTTACTATTGAAGAACGTAATAGAAGTCTTGGTCACAAACATTCCCTGCTTAAATCCTACTCCTATGCCTATCGGTGATAAAGTTCCTATTTACTTAAGAGAAGAATGGTAAGAAATACCGAACGAAACACTGGCCTAAATATTTATTCCCTTCTTCTAACGTCAAAGGACACACAGCCAGCCGCA